ACCCCAAATGATGACATCTACCAATCCAGAACCAGACGAGATCATCTACCAAACGATATGTTTTATATTAAATAAAGGGAAGAACTTCCCACTAAACCAAATCCATGGCCTAAGGCCAAATAGAAAGATTGCAAAATCATATTCTAAAAAACAGGAATCAGCTTCGGCTCTCCTATGTCTTGTCTGAGATATCACTTATGTGGAAGCAGACGTTAAACACCAAGAACTAACTAACTAACTGGGATGTGCTTTACCGGTTTCCAATGGTATAATAACATTGGACGTGACTTACCGATTTGTGATGTATTTGTCAATGGTGGAATCATATTTTCTTTAATGGATAATAATACTACGACCACGGTATGGTGAGCATCTATGGGTGTGCATTTTTTTTATCTTCACCTTTTTTTTTGTACTTCATACGTAAATAACCGTAATCAAAATAAACGATCGGATAAACGACTTGCGAGAAATTAAACGCTTCGTCTAATATTTAAACCCTGTAGATAAATTCATCGGGTGTTAATTTATTTACGCATCTCAGGAAATTAAAGTGCTCGGCTAGTAATTAAACCCATTAGATAAATAAACGAATCCTCCATTTCTAAACACCTCTCGGAGAAATTAAACGCTGTACCATTAAATTAAGCCATGGTACTAATTAAACGATTTTTGTAATTTTCAAGCATTATTATCAATTATCAAACAATGTTTTGAAATTAAACTGTATGCATAGTTATTAGCGCTAAAACAACCATATTAAACGATACCAATCTTATAGTGTATAGTGGCCCAATTTCCAAACTACAGAATACTACAGTATTCATTCCTATACATAACTGTAGAATTTCCTACAGACAGTCAGGGCTCACACTGTCGGTCGCCAAAGTCACAATTTGCGCTAAAAATATGAAAGTGGTGATTAAAATTTGATTTTGGCGATGATTTTGGCGATAATCTTTTGCGGTACTGGCGATTCTTTTTGCGTGCTGGCGGAAAAAAATCTTAAAATTCTAATCGTATTTATCCTGGATTAACCATTAATTGAGTGTCAATCACGTGGCGGAATACTATAAATTAATCAACTGGCTGATAATCTGGATTGCGTCAATGACTAATACTAATTAGTTGCTTGGATTAATGATTAGTTGATTGATAATAGCCAATGATGTATATAAAGCCTATCTCAAGTCATTATTTACTCCTAATGATTAATCAAAGCGGTGATTATTTGATGTTTCGTTTCGTCTTAAAAAAATGTTAATACATGCAATCAAAATGGCCGACGGTTCCTTTTGAAGAGAATTAAATATTTTGATACCTGAATTCGTTTACAGTGGCTTCATATACGTCATGTAAGACATATCAGATATCATTTTTTCAAATTATGTCATCACCACTGGTCGTTTTTTTTATATATATTTTTTTCTGAAGACGGTATTATTGGCGGTTTTTATTTCTGTGTTGAAAAACTAAGCGTGCGTCCTCCACCACCGCAGTGCGTGATAAAGGAGAAACAAGAAATCAGTTCAACACGGTACTAAGGGGCCTACAATACAAGAATGGAATTGAAACCACAGACTTTATGATCCAGACCCCACGAATATGATTGCAACCTTCTCCCATGTGTTGAAAAAATAAGCGGGCGACCTACACTCCAGGGACCTAGACCACAGCGCGTGATAAAGGAGAAACAAGAAATCAATTCAACGCGGTACTAAGGGACCTAGTATACAAGCTTGGAATTTAAACCACACTTTTTGACTCGATCACAGACTTTATGATCTAAACCCCACGAATATGATTGCAACCCTCTCCCATGTGTTAGTATATAAAATACAAAGGCATATTAGCTTACTGGTCCATATTTCGTCGAGTTCCGACTGTATAGCTTGGAAACCGTGCGCCAAATGTCATATATGAAGTGTGGAATAGCCGACCAATCAAAAACACTTATTTTGACCTTTCAACCCCGATAATGCAAACAAACCACTCGAACCAAGACGGAAGACAATTTGTTTGACCAAGGTTAGAAGAAAGTTATGAAGTATTATTTAATGTTAGAATATGAACTATAGCACACTGTATGGCGTATGCCCGTCTTCATTAGCCCAGGTTAGGAGCAGAACAGTAGGACGTTAAACCCCATTTCATTTCATTTCATTTAGAATATGAACTGGATAAACATTAGCAGTCTCTCAATAATGTTCTATATTGTAGTCTAAAATGTCTGACCCTTTTTTTGTCTCCTAAAGTTCTTTTTGTGTAGGCTACTTTCATTCAAAAATCGTATGTAAGGATATATTATTTATGTCACGTGATTGATGTTATCAATTAAATATGGATTATTGTCATTATTCAGGTTCATGTAAATGGCTATAAATGATTTTCGTGAGCTCAGATTTGCTCAAAATATTTCAGGTGACTTTTAATCTAGATTTCTTTCTGTAACTTTATATGTCATCAATATAAACTTAAAAAGTAAAGATTTGCATATTTGATATAAATAAAAATAGCTGATGAATTCATTTGGAAAAGGTCAACTCAAAACAATAAGAAAATATGAACATGAAACAACCTTATTATAAATAAGTCTCTATCAAACGATAAATGTTAATGTCACTTATGGCAGTGGTTTGTTGATAATCATAGAGATTCCCATAAATGATAAAAGTTATATAGGCCTACAGTAGTATGCTAATAAAGTTTGAAAATATTTACATAACACCGATTTAAATGATCAAATAGAAGCCTTAGATATAGTTGAACGATGTTTTAAATCGGATAAAAATTGTGACCTCTAGGGTCCACAAGCTGAAAACGCGATTTTTCGTACAATCAGGTGCCATAATTCACAAAGTTATGGTCCGATATGCGTAAATATCTAAAGGAACCGACATCTGTGGGTTATAAACATATATTTCAAGTATAAAAAAATTTGATCAAAATTGTGACCTCTACACTGTCCACAAGCTAAAAACTTGATTTTTCGTACAATCAGGGGCCATAATTCATGAAGTTACGGTCCGATATGCACGAATGTCGAAAGGAACCAAGATCTTTGGGTTATAAATTTACATTTCAATTTTCAACAAAATCAGATAAAAATTGTGACCTCTATAGGGTCCACAAGCTAAAAACATGATTTTTGTGTACACTAAGGGGCCATAATCCATGAAGTTACAGTCCGATATATGCCAATATTGAAAGGAATCGAGATCTTGGGGAGATAAACCTATATTTCAAATTTCGTTGAAATCGGATAAAAATTGTGACCTGTATATAGAGTGTCCACAAACAATTGTGGACGGTCGGACAGGGGCGACGACAATATACATCCACATGAAAATGTGGGCGTATAAAAAATGAAATGAAAGCTCAAGAATATGGTCCTGCCACACTCCTTGATGAAATATGTTTTGATAAAACCGGTCATAAATGCATAAAGGGTCCAAAGGAAGGTTGGTGTCAATCGTGTCACTAAGATATGTATTACCGATGTGGTAAATGTAATCAAAGATTGCACCAAAAGTGTTTTGCTGGTTATCATGTTAAACCTTAAATACTTTCTGAAGTTGTTATATGTTCCACCAACATGTTCCTGTTTAATAAAGTCGAATATGTCTCAAAAATGCCTATTACCAATGTGTTAAATATAATCAAAGATTGCACCAAAAGTGTTTTACTGGTTATGTTAAACCTTAAATACCTTTTGTTCCCCACCTTTCGAAGAAAGCAGGGGACGATTAAAATGGGATCGTCCGTCCGTCCTTCCGTCCGTCCGTCACTCTCTTTGGAACACAATAACTCTCCTTCTAATTGAGCTAGAATGTTCAAACTTGGTGTAGGTGTTTATTAGGTCAGTGCCTTGATGGACTTCGGAGATGAGCATTCTCTGCTTGGGGTAAGCAGAGATAAGCAATTTGATTGGTTGATGCCTTAAAGGGACACGATAACTTTAGTTCTAATTAAGTGAGAGTGATGAAAATTGGTGTATAGTTTCATTACATCAATACATTAACTAAGTTCGATAATGAGCATTTTCTGCTCAGGGTAAGCAGAGCGATAAGCAATTTGATTTGTAAAGACTTTGGAACACGGTAACTCTCCTTCTAATTGAGGTAGAATGTTCAGTCTTGGTGTAGGCATTCATTAGGTGAATGCCTTGATAGAGTTGGATGATAAACATTGTCTGCTTATGGTAAGCAGAGATAAGTAATCTGATTGGTTGATGCTTTGGGGCATGATAGCTTTGGTTATAATTGAGAGTGATGAAACTCCCAGTATATATTCATTATACCTTGACTATGTTCGATGATGAGAATTTTCTGCTTAGGCAAAGGAGAGATAAGCAATTTGATTGGTCAAGACTTTGGAACATAACATCTCTGCTTTTAAATGAGGTAGAATGTTTAAACTTGATGTAGATGTTCATTAGGTGAATGTCTTGACTGAGCTAACAGAGCTAAGCCATTTCATTGGTCAATGCTTTAGGACAAGATGGCTTTGACTCTATCTGATAGAGAGTGGTGAAACTTAGTGTATAGTTGACAATCAGTTTGATTACTTAATACTTTTGAAAAAAAATAAATGTGCGATGAATTAAAATGTGTCATCTATTTATTTTGAGATTTCGGCGGGGGACATCAGCCTCACTGTTGGCTTGTGGCAATTTGTTATATGCCTTTGTACCACAGTTTGTAAAACGAACATGCACTATAGAACCAAGTCCAAAAACGGATTATTTATATGTAAACTAGCATTGCTTTAAGACTTCAGGAAAATATTCTTTACAAACCACTTATTGGTAAGCAATGGGTTTTAACCAGACTTTTCGTGTGAACATGTTATACACATTTTACCCAGTTCAAGTTATTTTCTTCCAAGAACTGAAGGACTTTTTTATGTGCCTTCAAATAATGTACCAGTAATTTTCCTTTAAAAAAATTATTATAATATTTAAACATATGCTATATATGCTATATTTGGTTATATTTTAGCTTGTTACCATACAGTCTACATCCGGAAGTTGCAAACTCATGTATTAAACATAATACTAATATGGTAACGGCCAGCTATGTTTCACCAGCCATGCAAGAACTTGATCAACGGTTGGTACGAATTGAAGATTTTCTATTGTCATTTACATGTCTATGGGCTATTCAACATAATTTGAATTACAAAACACTGTAATCTGGGTATTACTATACAGTTTCTCCTTTGAACAATAAGTTACAAAAAAAAGAAATATACAAATTCTTGTACTCTTGGATTTGTTGATGTAGAAAATTGAATTTCTATAATATTACCCAGAACATGTACTTTACTTCTATTTGTAGTGCTAAAGATGCTGGCATAACATTATTAAATGAAGTAGGAGTTGATCCTGGTATCGACCATATGATAGCCATGCAGTGTTTTGATGAGGTTAAAAAAGATGGTGGTGAGGTAGATAATATTTTTATAACCCCACATGGAAATGTGGACGTATATTGCCGTCGCCCCCGTCCGTACGTCGGTCCGTCCATCGTTCACAATTTCTTGTGAACACTCTAACGCCAAAAGTTATCATCCAGTTGTTTTAAAATTGGTATATGTTTTTTGCATTAGTGAGATGAAGAAGCCTATTTAATTTCAATAATTTCCATATATTACGTCTAGAGTTATGGCCCTTGTTTCACTTTTTTGAACCTTGTGAACGCTCTAATGCCAAAAGTTGTTAACACCCGATCTTTGTGAAATTTATATGCAATATTTAAATTAGGGAAACGAAGAATCTTATTGAATTTCAACTATTTCTGTAGATTACTTCCAGAGTTGAGACCCTTGTTTCAGTTTGTAGAATCCTGTGAACCCACAAACGCCAAAAATTATAATCTGATCTGTATGGAACTGTCTTGTAAAGGCCCCCAATTATCTACAAAGGAATAAATATGCGACAACCCTTGTCGACCGCTCGGACAATTTAGCTACTGTGGGCGTATGTTTCGTTGCCTGGCAACCTATCTTAGCTTCTTGTCTTCCCCAATGGATTTACAAAAGAAAATTTCAGTAAAATTTAATTACTTGTGTCTTACTTTTAGAGTGGTCATAAAAAAAACGATATATTGTAATACAGATTCTCCACAATATGTAATTTGGTCATTATTATCACTCTGATTTTTGATGATTGGCTTTATTTCAATTGTGTTAAAATTGTAGGAACTTTGCAAAGGCTTATCCATAACTATAATTTGAAGATTCCGAATGTGACTCAAATAAAGGATATAAGTTGTAATTTTTACTGACAGAATGTGACATTACTGACTGTAGCATCAGATGGAATCTGAACTATCTGCCATATGGATGTTCCTCAGGGATCTATAATGGGACCAATCCTGTTTATAATTTATACATTAACAGTCAGACATATAGCTTTAAGCCATGGATTGAGTTTAGATGTCTGTACAGATATCACATAACTGATGGGGCATCCAGCTTTGTTGTCGACTAATTTCCAGAAATTATTAGTCATTATGTCCTCTGTGCAAGCAGATAATTTAATATTACAATCTTTACTTTTACAGTAGAACTCAAATATAGATATGTCCTGTTATCCATCCATTATCACTGTAATATTATTTGTTTTAGATTACTTCATATATTTCATGGTGTGGAGGATTACCAGCACCGGAATGTTCCAATGTACCATTACATTATAAATTTAGTTGGTCCCCTACAGGTGTTATGATGAACTGTTTAGCGGGCGCTAAATATAAATTAAACAATAAAGTGAGTAAATTTAACAAATGTGACCCATCCTGGCAAAATGAGTTGAAATTGATATTTTCACAAAAAAGAGTCTATAAAACATTTTAACCTATTTAACCCTAGAGCCAATTAAAAGATTAGCTACCTACCCCTAAGCTCATTAAATCAGCAGGGCCCATCTCCCTAGGCCAATTAGTGGGTTATTGTTTTAACAATTAAAATCCTAATACACATTACAAAATCACAAATAACTAAAAAAAAAATATTTTCTATAAAAAGAAATACTCTGTTACAAAAATGTACAGATTGTGGTGTTCTTTCCAATGATATAAAATTCAATTGTACAAAGTGGCAATTGTATAAATAATATTGAAAAGTCAATTCCACTAAAATTATGACTTTTCTCTGTCATAATGGTACAATATTGTGAACAAGTATTCTCTAAGAATTTTTAGACACATGGAATGACCCACTTGCTTTTTATATACCCACATTTCCATGTAGACGTATATTGTCGTCGCCCCTGTCCGTCCGTCCACAATTGTTTGTGGACACCCTACAGGTCACAATTTTTATCCGATTTCAACGAAACTTGAAATTTAGGTTTATCTCCCTAAGATCTTGGTTCCTTTCGATATTGGCATGTATCGGATCGTAACTTCATGGACTATCGCCCCCGAGCATACGAAAAATCTTGTTTTTAGCTTGTGGACCCTATAGAGGAACCTATAGAGGTCACAGTTTTTATCTGATTTTGTTGAAATTTTAAATGTAAGTTTATAACCCAAAGATCTGGGTTCCTTTCGATATTCGCACATATCGGACCGTAACTTCCTGAATTATGGCCCCTGATTGTACAAAAAATCACGTTTTTTAGCTTGTGGACCCTATGGAGGTCACAATTTTATTCCGATTTTAAAAACTGTTTGAATATATCACCGTTAAATGTTAATGACGGTTGAGTTCAAATTTCGTGAAAATCGGACGAAAACTGCCAGACAAAATGGCCGCCCCTCTACGCAAATAGTGTAAACATCTAGTATATCAAGGTTGTGGGCCCTCTTAGAGGTAACAATTTTGATCCGATTTTGATGAAACTTAAAATGCGTGTTTATAACCCAAAGATCTTGGTTGCTTTCGAGGAGATCATGTGGGTAAGATGCTGGCTCGCTAGCCTGGAGGTCGGGTGTTTGATCCCTGCATTGGCCGAGAAAGTTCATCCAGATTTTCCGCCGTGATTTCCCCTTGTCAGTGATGCAGAATGGAGGGCCTGACAAGGACAGCTGTCTAGTCATTCGGATGGGATGAAAAACCGAGGTCCCGTGTACATATTGGCGTGCACGTAAATGATCCCTTGACAGTTGGAATTCGATAGAAGAGTAGGCCGTAGCGCCGCTGCCCGGGCAAAATTTCCCTCATAGCATACTGTATGGCGTATGCCCGTCTTCATTAGCCCAGTTTAGGAGCAGAACAGTAGGACGTTAAACCCCATTTCATTTGGTTGCTTTCGATATTTGCGCATATCGGATCGTAACTTCCTGTACATAAAATTATGTTTTTAGCTTGTGATCCCTCTAGGTCACAATTATTATCTAATTTACAAAAACATTCGATTGAGTTTGAATCTCGTGAAAATCCGACCAAAACCGTCAGACAAAATGGCCGTCCCTCGTACGCAAATAGTGTAAACATCTGGTATATCAAGGTTGTGGACCCTCTAGAGGTCACAATTTTGATCCGATTTTGATGAAACTTGAAATGCATGTTTATAACCCACAGATTTTGGTTCCTTTTGATATCGGATCGTAACTTACTGAATTATGTCCCTTGATTGTACGAAAAATCGTGTTTTTAGCTTGTGGTCCCTCAAGAGGTCACAATTTTTATCTGATTAAAAAAAAACGTTTTAGTATATCACCGTTACACCCTAATGATGGTTCAGTTTGAAATCCGTGAAAATCAGACCAAAACTGCCGGACAAAATGGCCACCCCTCGTACGCAAATAGTGTAAATATGTGGTATATCAAGGTTGTGGACCCGATTTTGATGAAACTTGAAATATATCTTTATAACCCAAAGATCTTGGTTCCTGTCGATGTCGATATTCATGCATATCGGATCGTAACTTCCCGAATTATGGCCCTTGATTGTTCGAAGAATCACTTTTTGTTTAGCGTGTTCTCTATCCATCTCTTGCAAAATGTGGGCGTATCCTGCCTGGCAACTGCTTTTTTTTTTTTAAAATAGAACGCAAATATAGTCCCGTTGGCAGCAGTGTTCAAAGTAAATATAAATACAGTGCCATCTGTCACATCCGACACTCTGTTACATCCGACATCATTTTCATGTCCCGATTTATTTCCTTATTACTTCAGCCAAAAAATCTCTGGGTAATTCGACCTCTCTACGTTCCAGATTACGACATCAATCAGCCGTCCCGTCATACGATTTCCATTGAATCAACACCGTATAATCCGGCCTTCAATCGGTGGGTGTGAAGCAAACACTTACCGATCAATTATCCGTGAGATTAAAACTGGATGGGTGTGAAGCCGCAAAAGATTAACAAGCAATCACCAATCAATTATCTGTGAGATTAAAACTCGCTACCGTGGGTCTTTGTTGATTACTTTGATAATTTTAATCTCTTGTACGACAGTTGTGACAAATACTCAAGAATATCCACCAATTTTCCCCCGAATTCACAGTCGTAAAAATATTCCTAGCACCTGTTGGAAACATTCGTTGCGCATGCCGATTGAACCTGAATAACCTATAAGTTTGGTAACCCTATGGATCTCTTCGAACCGTGTGCACCTGGGATGCTTGAGTCACAATCCGGAACGTCCGAATTAACAGAATTGCAATCGAGTGACGCGGAATTCAGTCCTGTCACATTTCTGTCAGTCCCGACAACGGAGGTGGTGTGAGTAGAATTGTGACGTAATTAAACACGACAAACAGGTTTCGGCTGCATGGTTGGATGAGATATTTATATATCCAGTCGACGCATGCGTTGTAGCCCAAAGTACCCCTGTTCACTCGATTGTCGCTACTTTTGGGATTGAGAGAATTCAATTCCGGAACGTTCAATCGAATACGCCCATTATCAATGAACACGTGTGTGCGATCAACTGAAGACGTCAAAGAAGATAAATTAACGACAGACTTGACCTATTCAAAATGCCTACGCATGTTAAATGAAATAAAAATTAATGTAATAAAATTTTGAATGTACAGAAAGGTTTATCATTTTTAAAGGGAATAACATTCTGGTGATTCGAAGTTCTATGTTCAAAGCTACATTTTAATAATACTTCCGGTTTTCGAAGTTACAATATTTCCAGTTTTCAGAAAACTGGGTATTCCAACACTCTGTGTAATCCGACATATTGTAACGATCCCGTACGATGTCGGATGTGACAGAGTGCACTGTATAACTTTTAAAAAGAAATATCGCCCCAAATGACCGTCACTTCATCGCTATCGGCATTTGACATTTCTGCCTTTGGATATATGGTGGTAATTGTCGTCTTCTTTGCTTCATTGCGTCGAAAATAAAAATATATAGTTGAAATCTTCGACAATGTAATATTCCTCTATGTAGCTTCTATCAAATCCTAAAAGATTTGATTCAATTTAGCTTTCCAAAGTCTATAATTATTATCCTTAAGTTCTGTAGTATTTTCATCTCTGACCTATTACGTAAATACTGGAAGGTCCTTTGTTGAAACGTATGTTTTTTATTCGATAATTAGCGAATATAACATTCCTTTTCATTGGGTGTTTTATTTTTATTACTCAATCAACATTAATTGAAGAAATAAAAACAATAGAAATCAGTTAATTGATCTGGCGCTTTTGTTCGCTAATGCCGTTGCCAAGTATGATGGGTCGGCGAGTTGATTCGCTACCGCCAAATGACAGGTGCGAACTGATTCGCACTTGTCAAAAATGGGTTAAACACCTTATTTTGGACTTTTTGTAAAAGTACTGTATTCTTATTTTTCTTTTTTCTTAAACTTCTCGGCAAAATTAGTTATTTTTCTCCACTCGCAGCGGGACGACTGGTCAATCCCCTTACGTGTCACTGACTTATACTGATCAATTGTTATGGATTAATGATTCGTTGATTGATAATTGCCAATGATATATATGAAGCCTTCCTCAAGTCCTTAATTTCCCCAAATAATTAATCCAAACGATGATTATTTAATATTTTGTTTCGTCATTAAAAAGAATCATATTTTGATAGTTACTGTGGCTTCATAAAGCATGTAAAATATACAAGCATGCCTAATTGGTTATTATTGTTTCAAATTTTATTATCACCATGGGTCATAAATGTGAGAACATGCGAGTCGAGTGAGAAAACAATCTGCCATTTGTTTCATTATACTGCCGCCAAAATGCAATAAAGTGAACATATAAGCATCTCTTGCAAATGAAACTGAAATTTCGATCATTCTATCAGTGATTCAGATTCTGATACCGTTAGAGTACCTGAATATATCAAAAGACCTAATGTACGTGCAAAACTTTATTTTAATTCAGTCGTGTGATGAAGACAACAGAACACATAGCTGTGGCAGCTACTTTGTTGATCAAGGAACTAAACTTAATTACCCAATGAACAATCTTAATCTCCTGGGGCCAGGCCCCGAGTTCACAAAGCTTGATTTGCTAATCGCGTGTCTCCCACTCTCTGTCCATGTGAATTCCATGTAGCGGTAGATATTAAAATAACAACTGGATCATATACATTGATGGATTCGCTGACCAGTTGTTAGGTAAATTTAAATCTTCATTCAATATATTCCCCTGATAGAACACTGAATACACGAGAGAGAAACAGTGGATATTTTCCCAACAGAATCTCCAATGCCGAATTCCAATGACATGTGACATATCGGTTGGAATTGGGTCAATAAGAAACCAGTTCTAAATAGCGTTTACCATAATGAATTTTTTTTTATATACACATACTGACAGAGGCTCAATTTTTATACGACCACATGAA